GTTTTCTTTTGAGGTAGGACCGAAACTGCTGGAGGTCAGCGTGGCGGAGCATCTTGGCACTGACCGGATTCTGGGTTTCCTGTGCACCCTGCTGGATGGCAGTCAGTGTATGCAGCTCATCTTCCATCGCCACAGTCTCTTGCTGGTGTTGAATCTCCTTCTTCCTCCTCTTGGCCTCCTGTGCCGCTTCCGTAAGCTCTTCTTCTGGTGTGGCCAGCAAGTCCACCTTGAAGCGCATCAGTTCAATGGTCTTCGGATGAAAGATCACAGCAGTTTGAGTAGAGTCTCGATCATCCATAGTGGGGGGGCGTTCGCCATCTGGATGAAAGATCTCGTCCTGCCCGAAGGCCACCACGTGCTGCTGCAGTGTCATGCGCTGGGAGGCAGGAACTTGCTCCGAAAAGCTGACCAGCCCCGTACCGGCGCCCGAAGCTGCCGCAGGGGGAGGTCGGCCAAGATCTCCCACTTCCACAAAGCCTGAGGCCTTAGTAACCTTAGTATCTGTGGGAACCCAAGTCGGTCCCGCCTCAGTGAGCCTAAGTTGCCAGGACTGGCCGGCCACCTCAATCACTGACAAAGGTGTCATTGACAGGTCAACAGGCTGAGAGCCTTGACAAAGCAAACATTTGGATAACTGTCCCCACGGTGCATTGCAATCAGAACAAACTAATTGCGGAGAAGTTCCAGGGTCCTTCTCTTTCAAATTCATCATGGATCCCCCACGCTGCGTGGTGTGCCGGAGTTTCAACATCTGTGTGTGGACAGCCTCGCGCTTCGAAATGTGGTACACCTCTGCGATCTTGACCACCAAGGATGCCGTCCACGGAGAACTGCGGAAAGCATCCAAAAGGGAACGCAACTCACCATGCGTAATGTCTCTGAAGTACTTGGCAGCCGAGTGAGGCAGGGCTGGAATCAAAGGTGCCCAGCCTTCGATGGTGAAGGTCTCTGTGGTCGGATCCATGTGGAGTGTCAACGTCTCCTTCTCTAAGACCCGTGATGTCTGGGTCGGAATCTGTGCCTCTGCATGGACGAAACCCGACGGAGGTTGCCCACTTGACGCTTCCACACTTGTCTCCGGCTTGGGTTCCAAGCCCAAGTTTGCCATCACTTTCTCCATCTCATGGAGATGCGAAGCCAGAGTCTCCCTGGTGATGGCGGGATCATCTTCAATCTCTGTAATAACCTCGGCCGGCGCAGCCTCGGTCACCTGGGTGGAAAGCACCATGTAATCGTCCCCTGCGTCCAAATCTGTCCCAATCAGCGAGAAAGAGCCCACGGTGCCAGTCTCACTAGCCACTGGACTAGAAGCCGCCATGGCCAAAGAAAAGGATCGGAACGTGTTTTTCGAAAGTATTGGATCGCAGGGGGAACAGCTTGAGCCAAAATGGCATAGCCATTTTGGCAACTATATCGTCAACACATTACTTGCTCTCCACAAGTTCCAAGCAAAGAAACAATTTTACAAAGGTATGATTCTCCTTTGAAGAAAGTGTCTTAAAAAATCTTCTTGATGGAATATGGTTACCATTTTTTCCCTCTTTACTTTTTCTAAGTATACATGTTCTTTTTGTAAACATATTTACAGGGAAAAAACATAGAAAATAAAATAAAAAACAACAAACAAAGTCAACTTTAAAAAACATGAATTGTCAAATAGGATATATAGATAGGATATATAGATAGAATATATAGATAGGATATATAGATAGGATGGATAGGATAGATAGGATAGATAGGATAGATAGAATAGATAGGATAGATAGGATAGATAAAATAGATAAAATAGATAGGATAGATAGATAGACAGACAGACAGATAGACAGATAGATAGGTAAATAGATAGATAGGATAGGATAGGATAAGATAGGATAGGATAGGATAGATAGGATAGATAGGATAGATAGGATAGATATGATAGATAGGATAGATAGGAAAGATAGGATAGATAGGATACATAGGATACATAGGATAGATAGGGTAGATAGGGTAGATAGGGTAGATTGGATAGATAGGATAGATAGGATAGATAGGATAGATAGGATAGATAGGATAGATAGGATAGATAGGATAGATAGGATAGATAGGATAGATAGGGTAGATAGGGTAGATAGGGTAGATAGGATAGATAGGATAGATAGGATAGATAGGATAGATAGGATAGATAGGATAGATAGATAGACAGACAGACAGATAGATAGAGAGTTAGATAGATCAATAGATAGGATAGGATAGGATAAGATAGGATAAGATAGGATAAGATAGGATAAGATAGGATAAGATAGGATAGATAGGATAGATAGGAGAGATAGGATCGATAGGAGAGATAGGATCGATAGGATCGATAGGATCGATAGGATCGATAGGATCGATAGGATCGATAGGATAGATAGGATCGATAGGATCGATAGGATCTATAGGATAGATAGGGTAGATAGGGTAGATAGGGTAGATAGGATAGATAGGGTAGATAGGATAGATAGGATAAATAGATAGGATAAATAGATAGGATATATAGGTAGGATAGATAGGATAGATAGATAGACAGACAGACAGATAGATAGACAGATAGATAGATAGATAAATAGATAGATAGATAGATAGCTAGCTATATCATAATGCGAATATCTTATGGTATCCATGCGTCTCTGCCCAAGACTGCTGCCAGGCGTCTGAATCATAGCTCCAGGATCCAGGCTGTGGGCTAGTCAGGAGCGCACGCTGTCATCGACCCCAGTTGCTTTCCATTCTGCTTGACGCGTGGCTTCTTGAGCCAATATCAAATGTCAGAGTGGCTGCCTGTGGACCTTGGCCGCCTGCTTTGCCAAAAAAGTGAAGAGCTAAGGCAAAGAAAAGTCAGTCATCATGTGAATCTCGGAGAGGAAGCTCCTGTAGGACAAGCAACATCCTTGCACAAACAATGGCAGCAAAGATTACAAGATAGCAGTGAACAAACACCCGATTAGGAGTTCCCCGAACGAAAAACTTTTGAGCAACATTCTCCAGAATGGACCAAGGCTATCATAATAATTACACATGTCATCATTATACACAAATGGTATCAAATGGTTCTAATTTTTTTTATGGAACGATTTCGCCATCTTGCCTTTCGCAACCTGAGGGCCGGACAGGCAAATGTTTCTTTTGGGACTCGGACCACCACTGCAGCTTGGCAGTGAGCTGGCACCAAGCTGGGTGTTCGCCTACCAGCTGATGAGAACCAAAGGTGGTATGCTTCGGCTGCATGGCCCAGGGCCACCAAGATCACCAAGCTGTGGAAAGCCTGCGCCAACTGAAGTAGTCCCGGAAGCAATGCCTCGCCCCAGAGCATTTTCGGATCATGCTGTCGCCACTGGAATAGTGTGAAACAGGTACATTGCGGTGCATTCCTTTTGAGGCGGGACCTGCCTGACTTATGCTCTTTTGCTGGTTTGCCTTGGGAAGGAAAAAATCAGGAACAGAACATGCAACATTATACAACTACCCATCCATTATATATATATAATATATATAGTTGAAATTACATCGTCAATTAATATCCCTTGATTAGATATCCCTAAACAATGGCCGCTTGGTACCCGATGCACACACTTTATCAGGCGAGGAAGAGAAGCTCTCAAGGCCCCAGCTCCCACTGCTCTTGGAACTCTTCTCCTCCATCACCTAGTTCCAGAGCAACCACAGTGCACAAACTGGAGCATACAGAGATTTGGAATATAAAAATAATACAGGACAAATCTGAACTGATATGAAGATATATGAAGAACACTCGTCCCCTCAAACAGAATTTTGGAAAGAAACGCCAGCAAAGATGAAACCCCAGTCCAGCAAAGCAGCCGCAGATTCGTCGTTCAAAGAAGAGAGCAATGGTATGTAAAATGTCCATGTGTGTCTCTGATTGTCTCTGTGCCATTTTAAAAGCTATGTCAGCTATGTTGCCATCCTTCGTACCTCCTGGGAGGTTTGGCCCACGGGCCAACGGAGGGGAGCTCTAAGCGAGCCATACTGCAACTGAAGCCAGACAGCCACGGGCGTTTTCCATATCTTTTCGGGCATCACCTCCTCGGAGATAATCAGGCTGTGCTTTAGATTCCAGGAGATGCTGCTGTTTCGGAAGAGAACTCTCCAAACCTTACAGATCCTTTGAGATCATTCTAGCAGATTCCAGCAAGAACCTCCTTCCTTCCTCTACTTCGCCTCACAACTTGAGGAAATATCATGAAATATCCACAGAAGTTTGCATCCTGGTATATCCTGGTTGTAAGTCCAACTCCAAAGCTATATAGACCGACCACAGTAGCAACGGCTTACTGGCACCTTTTCGGCACTACATTGAAGCGATTACAGTATGGTCAGTATGCGAATCCAACTTTCTAACACGTGCTTCATGTCGTTCTTATCCACCTCCAGCGTGCCTGGGACAAGTCCGGCATATCCACAGTATTCCACAGTTAAGGAACATCTGCACCACAATGCGTCAAGTGTATGCCTAGGTCTGCAGCTCAAATGAGCCAGCATGTTTGACCCATTTTGACCCGGACCTGAAGAGCATAGTCGACAAGCATTGAGCCTGCAGCGATAGATTGACATGTGGGGGGCCTTTGGTGACGCGTGACCCAAGTCTTATCAAGCAAAAGCGTCTCAGTGCGGGGCGCTTGCCAAAATTGTCCAGAGATCCAAAAGTTTGCCTGCAGCAAAGCGCGAGACATGGCCAGGTAAACCTGCAATGCTCTACTATCGGACTCATCTTCAAACCAGCTGTTCTCTTGCATGGAATAATTCTCCATTACGCAAGGCTGGTATTGGGTCTGCCCCGCCCGAATGACAACTCATGGCCAGTGCAAATGCGGTATCGTTTCTGCGCTGTGCCGCACTCAAAAAGCCCGTAGACATACCCCAAATTTCTGTGAATGTCATGAAATGTCATGAAGCGTCATGAACCTATGTCATGTTGTGGGGAAGTTCTTGATCCTGCTCTGGCAACCACCACGACTGGAGCCTCAGACTCCCAACCGGCTGATCCACCGGATAGCGCCAGCACCCTGGCTCACTGCCTCCCCTTGTTCCTGAAGGCAAAGAGCGCGGGCTATCCCCAGCCCCAAACCATTCGAAATCTTGGACGATCTCAGCCGGACTTGCAGAATCATGCGTGCACAAAAGAAACTACGAAAAGTGGAATCAACTTTCTAACAAAGGTGGGAAAGCACCTGCCTGCAGCAACCTGTTTCGCAACTGGGAAGCTGGGCCTTGCAGCAAGGCAAAGCGTCTTGATCGCTTCGCCGCAGCAAGCAAAATCCGCCCGCACTGCAGGTGCCGAGGCATTGCGTGCGTTGCCCGGAAGCAGTTGTAATAGCCAAAAGCTACTATATAATTACATCTAATTACAGTTACAGTATACAAGCTTTAGCTTGGGTGGGGGGCATTGTTGCTCTAGAACCCAATGTCTTTTTCACGGTCTTCAACAGGTTGTAAAATCAACCAAGCTGCCAAATATGGGTCCGACGTAGGTCCAACATAGGCCCAACATTGGGCCACAAGATCGGCCCTATAGGCCCAAAATGATGGCCCTAACATGGACTCGACATAGCACCAAGGAAGGCTCCAAATAAATCCACATTGACATAACATTGCCCAAGCATGGGCTCCAAGGCCGCTCCCCTCACATCAGCATAGATTGTTCAATGCCAATGAGGTATATTTCAAGTTCTTCGTGGGATTCAACACAGCACCCAAAAAAAGAAGCAAAAACACAATATTTGTGTGTATGTTTGTTATGCTCGCGGCTGTGCTAAATCTAGATCGAACTTATGTTCAGTGCTTGTTGGTCCAATGTTGTGTCAGTTAGGGTGCATTGCGTTCTCCAGATTAAGCCGACTTTGGGTTGTCTGAAAAAATCCTCGAGGTTTGTTTTGGTGAGCTTGCATTGGGCACAGGGTCTCACGTTGGGCCCAAAGCTGCTTTTGAAGTTTGGTTTTGGGCGGGCCAATTTGGCTTCCCTTGTCCTTACATAAAAATAGCTCAAAACATAGCAAAAAACATGTTTTTTCCCCATGTATATAAGGTGAATAAATGATCAGCCAAATATTAAGTCAGCAATACCAACATAGGCTACACGGGGTCAAACTGGGTACAGCAAGAACCTGACACGGTCCTTAAAATGGGTAGCTCAATATAGTGTCGATTCAAGCCCAACATACGCCAAACATTGCCCAAAACCAACAAATGAGGCCAAAATAGGTCAAAAACAAGGACTCAAGAGGATTTCTAGGAGCTCTTGGAACTTTGTAAAGTCTACGTCTAGTATATCTTTTATCTAGACTTGACCGGGAGAGAACAAAAGTCTACAATGGCCTCACCAAGTTTAAAAGATAACACATCATAACTCATAACATTACCAACGGGTTTTATATAAAGTTCTAAAATTTGTGATTCAGTCTTCCTGAGAGAACTCACACATTCTACCGCGAGCAAACAATTCCGGTGCGGGCGATGGTCGTCGCGAAGCGACCAGAATATTCCCATTTGAGTAACAACGCCCCAGACAATATGATGATAAAGTTGCACTACCATTTTGCGCCTGTGTCACCCTCCTTCTCGAGGACAAACAGGGAACCATCTCCACCCCTGGTGATGCGAAGGTTGTCGTCCAAGAACGTGATATCCTTAACTGCTCTCGCACTGTAAACATTCCCTGACAAGTGGATACAAGTGGCATATTCTGCACAGTCCCCACGATAGCTGGACATCAAATGAAACAACCTCGCAACTGTTACATGGGCCCCCTTGCAACTTTCTTGGCATCTAAAGGATGCAGCTGGTTGTTCGGCTATTTTTGGCAAAGCCAGCACAAAGGTGCTCGCTGCAGCCTGTTTGCAAATGTTTATACAACTATATATCTACAAATCTACAATAATTTTGCAGGCTATGGCTCCAATCGAGCGCATTCCTGCCCAAAACTGGACGGCTCAGCACGTTCAAATGACGATCCTGTCCTCTCCTTCAATTTTGATTGTGAACTTCTGCTCATCTTCAGCCTGGGTTGCGTGATGAGCATGTACGGGAGTTGCTATATTATAATAGTATTCAAATTATAAATGTATTATATTGTATTGTATGTATGAACTTGGGGCGCCACAAAAGCTTTGCCACGAAAGGGATGTCGACCAGGAAATCAGCTAGATTTGCCAAGAAGCATGCCCGCGAGAAAGAATAATGGCATGAACACCTGGATACAAAGTTTGAGATCCAACTTTATTGACCAGCTCCAACTGCTTGCTGGACAGGGTGAAGGTGACAGTTGCTTTTTGGCCAGCACGGACGGCCACCCGCTTGAAATCGCGAAGGGCCCGCTTGGGCAGCGTATGATCCACCTTGCCGATGTCAACAGCTGAGTGGTAAGCCTGCACAACCTCTTCTCCATCCAAATTTCCCGTGTTGTGGAGCTTGCACTGGAAAGTGTATTCCAGGGTGGGGTTCTCTTCCCCTGCTTTGGAGCAGTTGAAGTCAAAAGAGGTCAGGGAAAGGCCAAAGCCAAATGGGAAGAGTGGTTTACCCTGATAATACTTGTATGTTCGGCCGGGAGGAAAGGACATATCATAGTTGGTCATGGCTTGTTCCGAGATGTAATGGTGTGGGTACATGGTAATGGGAAGTTTTCCCCAGCGATTTTCATTTCCAAAGAGCGTCTGTCCTAGCGCTTGAGCCCCTTTGTGGCTGGGGAAGAACGCCTGGATAATTGCAAAGCCTGCGGATCCTTCCTTCTTTCCCTGGTATGCCAGAATTCCATCAATTGCCATCGGCCCTCCGCTGACAAGAACAAGGACTGTAGGCTTTTCAAGGCCAAGGACCTGTTTTGCGAAGCTTTCCTGCAAACCAGGAAGCGCTGTATCAACCCGATCATGTCCTTCCGTCTCGATGGTCTTATCATCCCCGAGAGCAAGGACGACAAAATCTGATTTCCGGACCAAGTCCAAGGCAGCTGCGATACCATCAGTCTTGTTGCTGTTGATCTCGACCCCCATGGCCGCAGAGACGCTTCCTCCCTGATTTGCAGCTGCAATTCCCTCCGCCAGGGTAGGAACACAAGCGTCAGTGCCGTCAAAGCAGTGGCTTCCGGCTGCATAGTCGGAAAAGAGCTGACTGCGCGAAATGGAGTGGGGCCCTACCACAGCAATGCTGGTGCCTTCTTTGATTGGCAAAGCTTTCTCGTTCTTCAGGAGAACCAAGCTTTGCAGTGCAGCTTCATACGAGATCTGCTGGTGCATAGAATGGTTCACATCTGCCAAGCCATACCTCACAAGCAGAGAATGGGATTCAGGACCACAGGGAATCGACAGTCAATTTTTCGCTTCAAAGCCTCCGCCCTGCATCCACCAAGAGAAAACAAAGCACCAAAGAAACATGATGCGTCAGACAAATAGAGGCATAGTATAGTATAGACAAGAAATTGACAAGAACGTAGAGACACACGATTTGGATCGATTTGGGATCAATATTGGATCAATTACAAATACGCTACGAGGTCTTTTGGTAACCAGCCAAAGAGCTTCGCCCAAGTTGTTGCATTTGCAGGGTCAAATCTTCCAAGCTCGAAGTGCACCTTGAACGAACGCCGCACGGCCTGCAGCATATCAGGATTGTGATTGTGCAACAAACAACTACATAAGCAATTGACTTGAAAATTGCCCGAAAAAAATGGAGAATGAAAGGCTGATCCCCGGTACTGTACAGTACCACATGAAGATACAGGTGCAAGCAGGCCCGGCTTCGTCAAACTCTATATATATAGATAGATAGATATATATATATATATATAGTGTGTCCCGCAGGAAGAGGTCCAGCGGACAGCCCCGGCAGCCTCTTCCAACCTTTGCTTGGTGGCAAGTCCCATGTCAATGGCTTGGGACAAAGAGGTGAAGAGTGTGTCTCCCATCCTTGGCTTCCAAATCTTCAAGCTGCAAAGAAGATTTGCAAGCAGCTCCAGCTTACGTCCATGAAGGAATTGCATGGATTTAAATGGATATTCAACCCCCACTTTGCAGGGCATTTGCAATTGTCAGCTATCAACAAATCATTCAATCAGCCAGGCATCTCAAGGTCGGTTCCATTCATCAGCGCCATAGCTGCTGCATGTGCATCATCCGGCGCATTCACTGGAGGTCCTTTCAAGTTGTTTACTGCGCCGCAGTCTATTGTGACGTGGGCGTCCTCACAGGAAATGAAGCACAGCAAGACCAGGCCACTGTGTAAAGATGTGTAAAGTGTATTAAAGTGTGAAGGAATGGCTCAAAGAAAGCCTCCTTCACTCACAAATGCAATACACGTGCAGGGTCTGGTGTGTATGACCACCACAGGTGTTTTGAAATGCAGCCTGGCAACTGGCTTCCAGCTTCTCAGCTGTTGATTCAGAATAAACTCGTTGGCACAAGAAGGGTGTCCATTCTCCGCATTGTATGAACACATAACACCTGACACATCGCAGCATGTCAAGAGTCAAGGTCCTTCCTCACAATTCCAGATTAAAAGAATCCCACAAAGTTTGGCACAGTTTCCAAGCTGCAGGTTGGACGGCCAAGCCTGTGGGCTGAGCCGTGAAGGCAAGCTTGTACTGTGCCAAGTAGGTATCAAAGAAATCATACTGAGAGATATTGTACCTCAACGGCACCACGTTCTCAACTCTGAGCATAACAAGTCAAAAGGTTGCTGCACGATAGATAATTCCATGCGATTACTCCCAGACTCCAAGACGAACATCAAAACTCTCACAAAATGTTTTCTGTCTCTGAGCTTAGCTGTGCTGAGCATGGCGCGTGTCATGGCCCCTGTTGGCTTCAGTGGAATAGGCAGTGTAGTGTTTGAGGTATGCGGCCGTCTTTTTGTAGCCTTTCTCATCCCGCTGCTGCATTCCTGAAACCATCTGAGCAGCATAGGTGCCACTGAGGAAGGGGTCCTCGCTTGCCAGCTCAGAATTACGCCCGAAGCGGGGGTCTCGCACGATATTGATGTTGGGCCCAAAGGCCGTCAGGCAGACTGGATTCTTGTGGTCTTGATGAAATCTCGAAGCGCCAATGTTTGACAATGCCCGCTGTTCGGTTCCCAGCACATAACCTGCCAGAAGCCAGAGCCAAACAAATGTCTGACTACTGAAAAGTGATGAAAGGTGCAACTTAACGAAAGGACGCTTTCGATGCATCAACAAAAGAAAGGGACCCTCACACAATCCGGCATCTGGATGCATCTGGCATGCGTGAAACATTCATATTTGTGTTGCACTAAACTCGTGCGAGCAACCTTTGAGGTGCCAAGAGGTTCGGTTGAAGGATGCTGCCATGCCCTGGGGCCCCACAAAGTTGGTGACACAGTGGTTCTCGGCTGGGCATGCAGAATCAACTCCTCAGCTCGACATGTGCAGTGATCAAATTCAATGACCCGATTTGTCAGCAGCAAAGCCTTGAACACAATCCAAGCACATCCAAGCACAATCCAAGCACATCCAAGCACATCCAAGCACATCCAAGCACAATCCAAGCACATCCAAGCACATCCAAGCACATCCAAGCACATCCAAGCACAATCCAAGCACATCCAAGCACATCCAAGCACATCCAAGCACATCCAAGCACATCCAAGCACAATCCAAGCACATCCAAGCACATCCAAGCAACACATCCAAGCACATCCAAGCACATCCAAGCACATCCAAGCACAATCCAAGCACATCCAAGCACATCCAAGCACATCCAAGCACATCCAAGCACATCCAAGCACATCCAAGCACATCCAAGCACATCCAAGCACATCCAAGCACATCCAAGCACATCCAAGCACAATCCAAGCACATCCAAGCACATCCAAGCACATCCAAGCACATCCAAGCACAATCCAAGCACATCCAAGCACATCCAAGCACATCCAAGCACATCCAAGCACAATCCAAGCACATCCAAGCACATCCAAGCACATCCAAGCACATCCAAGCACATCCAAGCACATCCAAGCACATCCAAGCACATCCAAGCACATCCAAGCACATCCAAGCACATCCAAGCACATCCAAGCACATCCAAGCACATCCAAGCACATCCAAGCACATCCAAGCACATCCAAGCACATCCAAGCACATCCAACATCCAAGCACATCCAAGCACATCCAAGCACATCCAAGCACATCCAAGCACATCCAAGCACATCCAAGCACATCCAAGCACATCCAAGCACATCCAAGCACAATCCAAGCACATCCAAGCACATCCAAGCACATCCAAGCACACATCCAAGCACATCCAAGCACATCCAAGCACATCCAAGCACATCCAAGCACACATCCAAGCACATCCAAGCACATCCAAGCACATCCAAGCACATCCAAGCACAATCCAAGCACATCCAAGCACATCCAAGCACATCCAAGCACATCCAAGCACAATCCAAGCACATCCAAGCACATCCAAGCACATCCAAGCACATCCAAGCAAGCACATCCAAGCACATCCAAGCACAATCCAAGCACATCCAAGCACATCCAAGCACATCCAAGCACATCCAAGCACATCCAAGCACATCCAAGCACATCCAAGCACAATCCAAGCACATCCAAGCACATCCAAGCACAATCCAAGCACATCCAAGCACATCCAAGCACATCCAAGCACAATCCAAGCACATCCAAGCACATCCAAGCACATCCAAGCACATCCAAGCACATCCAAGCACATCCAAGCACATCCAAGCACATCCAAGCACATCCAAGCACATCCAAGCACATCCAAGCACATCCAAGCACATCCAAGCACATCCAAGCAAGCACATCCAAGCACATCCAAGCACATCCAAGCACATCCAAGCACATCCAAGCACATCCAAGCACATCCAAGCACATCCAAGCACCATCCAAGCACATCCAAGCACATCCAAGCACATCCAAGCACAATCCAAGCACATCCAAGCACATCCAAGCACATCCAAGCACATCCAAGCACATCCAAGCACATCCAAGCACAATCCAAGCACATCCAAGCACATCCAAGCACATCCAAGCACATCCAAGCACATCCAAGCACATCCAAGCACATCCAAGCACATCCAAGCACATCCAAGCACATCCAAGCACATCCAAGCACATCCAAGCACAATCCAAGCACATCCAAGCACATCCAAGCACATCCAAGCACAATCCAAGCACATCCAAGCACATCCAAGCACAATCCAAGCACATCCAAGCACATCCAAGCACATCCAAGCACATCCAAGCACATCCAAGCACATCCAAGCACATCCAAGCACATCCAAGCACAATCCAAGCACATCCAAGCACATCCAAGCACATCCAAGCACATCCAAGCACATCCAAGCACAATCCAAGCACATCCAAGCACATCCAAGCACATCCAAGCACACCCAAGCACACCCAAGCACATCCAAGCACATCCAAGCACCATCCAAGCACATCCAAGCACATCCAAGCACATCCAAGCACATCCAAGCACATCCAAGCACCATCCAAGCACCATCCAAGCACCATCCAAGCACCATCCAAGCACCATCCAAGCACCATCCAAGCACCATCCAAGCACCATCCAAGCACCATCCAAGCACCATCCAAGCACCATCCAAGCACCATCCAAGCACCATCCAAGCACCATCCAAGCACATCCAAGCACATCCAAGCACATCCAAGCACATCCAAGCACATCCAAGCACATCCAAGCACATCCAAGCACATCCAAGCACATCCAAGCTACCTGTATTTGTCTCAACCAACCACAGCCATGGCGGCAGTCCAATATCCGGCTTTCCCGTAGTGAAAGTAGTGCAGGTGCCTGCAGGCGCCATAAAATCTTAAACAAGACTCAGCCTCTTCCAAGAGAAAAACCTGCAACCGGGATTGAACCGGGATTCTTGACACATGCAAAGTGTCAACAATGTCTTGTTTTGAACGCTGCTCTAGTCAGAGAGGACGGATCGATGGGCTGTAATATCATGTTAGAAATTCTAACATGTTGTAACAGATTGTAACATGCCCGCACACACTTGAAGTTGGAATGCATCATACGTGCAAAAACAACACCAGTAAACCTAACAGGAGCGAGAGGTGTAGTCAGGAGTTGAAATTCTCTTGTCCCTGATTGTATGCCCAGCGAGATTGGAGCTGACCCTTCCCTTGTAGCAAATAATCGACAAAGGGTGGCCTCCAATCGAGCCATCGGGCGTGATCTGCTGGATTTTCTCTTCCAGGCTCAGTCGAGACATCAAATCATCAAGGCCTCGCAATCAAGACAATCAAGACAGACACAGCAGCTGCAGCCTGCTTTCTTTTCAGAACTTAGATATGTCTTCTTAAAGCAAACTTTGACTCACTCGCGCACCTGGACCACCGACAGTCTATACCCTCTTAGGTTGCTAAATTGGGGAACCTAATTGGGGAACGTAGGGACAGGGACGCGACATGGGGCCAGGGGGCTTAAGAACAGGGATCGTGGGACACGTGGATAAAGCATCACTCTGGGATTCAAGATGGATTTTGATGGATTTTGGGAATTTGGGATGGATTTGAGATGGATTTGGGATGGATTTCGGATGGATTAATTATTGAGGATTTTGGATGGATCCATGTAAAAACCATTGAAAACCTACATGGATCATTATGGATCAATAGAATTGGTTGAGGATTGATACTCAAAGGCAACCGATCAGGGTCAAGGGACTAGGCGGCAAAGCATCAGACGCAAAGTCACAAAAAGATACAGGTGCGACGGAGTCTTGGCTCCAGAACGCAAACATGCATCTCACATATACTCCAGCAATATCATCGCAAAATATGCAACAGGCATGGTATTCGAGCGTGTTGCACACATGAGTAAGCAATTCAACACCGAGTCTACATATTCAGTCGGGATTCTCTTGTCTATTGTTTTACTACTTCCAGACTTGGCTAGTTATGCAATATACATTGTCTAATCTGGAACTTTGCTGGGTCCCTGGGTCTCTGCAAAGAGTCTATTAATTAAATATTATACTCTTTTCAGATCTTTTCAGCTCATCTCTACTCTACTACTCTGATGCATTTTGCATCATCTGTGGAAGTTCTGTGTTCTCTCGTAACTTTAATTTTTTTTGATGCGGTGGTGTAAGTTCCCTATTTCAGAGCGTCTTGGGAAAAAGCTCCTGGAAGTCGCACATCATGTCGCTAGTCTCTGATATTTTGTGGGTTTCTTGCAGATGTGTGGGGTTTCGTGGCGTAGAATACACTTGAAAATTTCCCACCAAGACCAAAGGTGCAGAAAAGTGCACAAGCGACCCCCATGTCAGCGGAAAACATCCGAAGATGCTATAGACCTCGAAGAAACCACGCAGCCGAGAGGCGTTTCTCTACAGAAAGTTTGGTGTCGCAGTACGGAAGGCCCGTGGCCTGGAATGGCAAAAGCAGAGGAACATTGGCCACACGTGCTGAGGCATGACATGGCATAGCAATCATAAGAATCATAACGATTCTGTTGGTCACTGGATTGGTTTAAGGGAAAAATTACAGGAAACCATGGTTTTTACCATCAAATATAGGGCTTTCCTGTAAATGTTCCCATCATCCAATTCTATGAGTTGGGGCCCCAAAAAAAAAGACAAAATATTAAAATGCTGTTGTTCGATGCATTTCACAATAGCCTCTTTGTTGACAAAGTGATTCCATTGAACAGGGGTGAAGCAGGTGGCAAAATTCATCAGTATGTCATAGCATGATATAGCATGAGTATCATTCTGTCCAAGTGGCTTTAGCGTCGATGCATCCGTGCCAGTTTGGCAATTGCCAATTTGGAGCTGCCTGAATGTGGCTCAGGAGCGCCAAAAAGAGTCCTGCCAAAGTCAGCCACTTGAAGCCACTCACACACAAAGCTGTGAAAAGGGCTGAATGCACTGCAACCCGGGTCCTGCCAAGAAGAATCGCATTGCTTTGGCACTGGAACTAAAACTGATCTTCTGCGCTTGAGCCCAATGTCTTCAATCCTAAATGACTCTGACAGTCTCTGACATCAGTCATCATGTTTGAGCGTGGCGCAGCCACCTTTGTGCTGAAACCTCTGAGAAGATCAGCCACGCAAGACGCTGCAAAAAAACTCCCGCCAAGGGTCAACAGCGGGCTGTGGAGCATCGGCAGCACGGGTGGGACTGGCAACCTTCCGCAGCAGGGAACCTGCCATGCGCTTTGTCCACTTCGTCACGTCGGGTGAGTCTCTGAGGGCGGAAGAAGGGCAAATTGAAACCGAGCCAACTCACCATCTACTAACATGGGTGCCTGGAGGCCTAGCTGGGGTGTTTGCCATTTCTTACCTACACGTCCAAGGCTCTGAAGTCCACTAGTCGTTGCCAAGCATTTTGGCCACAAGTTGCACATTCCAAACCCTGCCTGTTGGAAAGCCGCCCAACTCGATGACGGAAAACCTCACAGCCCATAAGAGAATCAAGGCATATCAAGGCGCTAGGAACATGACGTACACTGAAAAATACTGAACATGGAACATTTTGCCGAGAGGCACCAGCCGCTGAAAATCCACATCAATGCCTCAGGGGAGGTCAAAAAATACATGCCAGTGACATCCCGTGACCAGGCCATGCCATACCCGGTCTGAAGATAACAATCAATGTATGTATGTTTATGTAATTTTATGTGTATGTATATGTGTGTATGTGCGGTATTTTTTCAGATTTTTTCAATACCCATAGCCCATATCAATAATCTTCGTAAACAGCCATCAATGAATAGACAAATGGAAGGGATCCAATGTCCTGACAAAATGAGATACAAGTACTCTTCTCAAACAGTCGTCCGCTTCAAGTCCTATTGGCATTTTCCATCATTTTCAGATGTTGCCCCCGTCTAAACTTTGCAGGGCCCGCAACTAAAAATGCCTAAAACATCCTAAAACATATAAACATGCAAAATTGCCGTCCCCTTGACTCCCATTGCTCCCATTAGCTTCGCCATGAGACGATTGCCGTCCACGTTCTTCTTTCCAGCGGCGTTGACAGAACCTATCTGTGCAGAGGTGAAGGTGCCCACCACGGCGAGGTCGCCTTTTACCTCAACGGACTTGGTGGGCAGTGACATGCAGTCACACTGTCAAGGGAAGAAATAAGCAGTGTGACATAGTGCGACTATCTGGCAAGAATAACACATTGGCTTCTCAAGCCAGATGTGGTGAAGAGATTGTCACTGCACATGGATCACAGCGCTATGTGAATCCAAGATTCCAAGCCAAGTTTGTGCGTGATCAGCGCCTCATTTTCGAAGTCACCTGACCTCCAGAGAAAAGATCATGGCCCAAGCTCAGACCATTAACTCATCGAAGCTGCTTGGCCTTTGTTCTGTGGATTCTTGGTGTGCCCATGCGGAAATATTCGACATATTTAGACGCCAATAAAGTTCAATAAGATCAAACGGATATAATAAGACAAACAATAGAGCCAAGCAGCGGCACGTCGATGAGCTGGTAGACAGGGCCCAAGGCCAATCCAAGTGGTAGGTTTGCTAAACCCGTAATTTCGGGAGCGTCCGTGTAAAGCAGTCCTCGGCTCATTTGGGCCAATTCACCCAAGCAAATCAAAAATTCTACGGCAAGCTGCCCTAGACAGCACTTTCAGCGTGAGCCCTCTGGCAACAACTTTTTGAAACCAAGGCATCCAAGGCTCGCCAGTTACCGCTGAGATGTCTGAGTAGCTTCGGGTCCTAACTCAAAATTGCGCTTAACCGATCCACAACCGAACCAAAGTCTGCAGTGCTGAACAATGCAAATGATCATAGAACCAAATAAATCCAAACAGTAGTCAGTCCTTCAGGAGACCACGCCTGGAGAGAAAAGAAGCTTCCAGCCTTGATTTGCTGTCCCAGCAGGACACAGACGATAAGACCGTTTGCTTCCCAAGTACCCAACACTCAAAAGACTCACCTTGCAAACAGGAAGCTTCCCTGCAAGCATGCTGACTTCCTCCGCTGGAGAAGGAGGGCGGCGCTGGCTATAAGATCTACTGTGGAAAGGCAAAGGAACGGAGAACGGCTAGAAAGGGCAAGGATAACTCAGGCCTCAAAAATAAAGAGTTGCTGAATGAAGAAACGGGAAGAAATCGCAAAAAGACAGCATCAGAAGCACGGCAGAAATCCAAACTGAGAATGAATGATAATGAATGGTATATAGCTCAGCAAATAATTGGGTCAACCGATGCCCCCCGGAAAACAAAAAACAAAAAAAAAAAGTTTCCAGCTAACAGCAATACTTTCACATCTCTGTCATTTTTGCAGGCTAGCCGATGCTGCTACTTTAAGCTGGCTGGCTGGCTGGCTTGCTGGCTTGCTGCTGCTGCTGCAGCTGCACGACATAGATGCCATGATATGCCATGCGTCCGCCTATTGAAAGAAGCCGCTTCTACTACTGTAGCACAGTGGGTGCAGCGGGTGCCATGGGTGGACCCGTGCAGTATCAAAAGTACGTACATGCAGTGAACTTGGACTTCGAGTTAATGAAATGCAATTCTACACCTTCAGCTGTCTTGGGGATACTCAGGTACAACTCATCATACCGCAAGCTTTCAAACTGCCAGGGGGGCATGTACATTGTATAATTATATTATGCGCATTTGTTTCCAAAACTGTGTCTGACAATGTTTTTGTGTATCTGTAAAACTACTAATGTCATGTATCTATATATATGTGTGTGTGTGTATATTTAGTTGTATTTATTCATTTATATACGTCTTCATGCACTTACATATGTGCACATATGCATTTAACTTTAATGTTGACTTCGTAGTCTTCGATGTTCGGGACTTTCAACAGACTCAACACAGTTTGTCAGCTTGGCTTGAGCTCCCACTCCCCACGCCATGCGGCGAAATGTCCAAGGTGTCCTCAACTGCTGCAGGACTCAAAGCAACAGGGGTTGCAGGAGCTCCCGAGGATCCAAGGCTGTTGGTTTCCACCTGAAGCACCATTAACACCAAACATTTTGGCCAATGAATGCAATGAATCATGACGAGTGTAGTACAAAGATCTGCTACAAAACCATAGGTCTATCATGGTCTACCAAATTTGGGTGACTGTTGAACTTCAGCCTACATCAGTCCAAGCGACGAAACGCCGGAGAAGTGCCAAAAGAGTATCAGGCGACGGCCGTGATTGCTCTGTTGCTGTGGCACGAGTGCCTACTGGCGCTATGGGTGCTAGAGTGGCAGCAAGCCTCAGCAGATCTCAGCAGTGTCAAAGCTTGGAAGATTGATAAATATGATAAATATTGAACATGGCTCAATGGCTCGGCTCAAATCAGCTCAGCTCTCAGCTCTGTGTCATCTTTGTTCGCAATACATTTTGAACATGTTTGAACAAGTTGTCATGTGCAGCTTAGAGTCAAAAGCTGCCGTCTTTGCGGCACCTTGCTTTGCTGGGTCTCTGGTGCTACAAAAGGGTAACAGTAAATGAAATTGTGTTTCATGGTTGCTTCTAGGCTCCTGTCTTCTCGCTCCTTATTTTTTCCCACTAGCCTACCAGCACATCCTGCACTGACTCTGACATGTCTCCACCCCTTTGTATTCTGCTGTAGGACAAACAAAGTAGAGCGTCCTCAACGCGTCTGTCACAACTGGTCAACGGATGTCAACGGCACCATTTCATGCCGATCATGCCCAAGATGGGAGAAGGCTTCCACTAGCCTTCTTGCAAAGAACAGGAAGCAAGACCTTGGAGGATGAAAAGGAATGGGCCAATGGGCATCAAACGACTCTGGTACTGTCCTATCATCCATTTCTAGCACCAGTTGCTCTTTGTATCCCTCAGCCGGACACAAAGCAAATAGCTGCAAACAGCGGCCACGTGCAAAGCTAGCCATGAGGCATGAATGAATTGTGCTGACTGAACAGGCTATGCCGGCTATGCTGTTTGAAGTCCAAGCTCATCCAGGTTGCCTGCTTGTCTTCCAGCACAATGGTGAGGGATGCTTCACGATCTTAAGTTGGTCACAACTTGATTTTATCACAGCCTCCCGCAATCAACCCCAGCCCTACTACTGTAGAATGTCAGAAGGTGTGACTGTGTGCACATGGGTCCAAGTCGGACCATCTTGTTTCAAAAAGTACACTATCACGCGGGTTTTACTGTCAATCTCTTCGAATTCCCCTTGACGCATCTTGAGGTGACGTCCTTGAGACTTGAAGTTGCCGAAGCTACACTGCTAATCAAAAGGGAAAATTGGAAAGATGTTTGAAAGTCATCAAACAAGTCACTAAGCCTCACAAAGCCTCACCAAGCCGCAAAGATCGCAAAGATCGCAAAGTCTCTTCTCTCTTGAATAATTTTGACGGATTTCCTACAAGTTGAAACATCGATAGTACGTGGATGCTGAACCTTGCCTTTAGCAAGCGCAGGGAAATATGTAGAGCCACCACTTACTGGCTGAATGATAAGGCTACAGTCAGACATTGCTGACATTTGCTGACCTTCAGAGGTCACTTTGGGTCACGTCCAGGTGCCACAGGGGCCATAGAGATTTGTTTCAAACTGATCTGCCTGGTCTGTCTAACATAATCTATCAAATTTATCAAATAAAGCGGCAATGAGCGGCGGAAAAGTTGCTATCTGGACCTACCTCCTTCCTTGACATCGCTGGGCATTGCTATGCAACTGTTTGCTATCGGCCTCTTTCTACAGTTTGGTCCATTATCTACGGACCTGTTGCACATCATGCACACCAACACAATCAGTGTTTCCTCCATTTGGAGTTATTAGACTATGTGTTCATAGTATGTTTCAACTTGGAAACAAGGGACCAGTCGACCGATTACCGTGCAAACAGGCAGGAGCATAGAGCGGACTCAGCTGCTTTCAAACGAACCTTTGGCCAGCAGCGTCACCGCAACATCCGGTTTAGACTGTCCTGCTCACACGAATTTTGTTCCCAGCGTATGAACCTCAAAGCAATTTGTAGCACAAGTGCTGGCACTGCAAATCCATGAAAAATCCACAGTGAGGTTGCCAAGCTATGTGTATCCATGTGCAATGAGCTAAAGTGAAGAATTGACCAGCAACAAATTTGATTTAAACTCACAAGAACAGAGGTGGAACCAGCGTAAGAAACTCGGGACATGGTTTGATGTGAGGTATGCATATGATTGTATATGTATGCATATGCATACGTATAATTATAGTTACATTTACATATATATATATATATGTGTGTGTGTGTGCGTGCGTGTGTGTGTGTGTGTGTGTCCACACATCTGTTTGCATATGTATTTCAAAATCCATGTATATGTGGCGGTTGATCTAAATTCCTTCATCTGCAAACGGCCATTCTTCGCAAAAATTGATTTACTTTCGCGAATTTTTCGCGAACCTACGTTTTTCTTTCACGGGGTTGTGGGTTGTCCACTTTTGTGCTGCTGCGCCGCGCTCAAACTGCATTGAAACGACAACTGTGTCAGTGATCTGGGAGACAGCCAAATGTAGGTGCAAGGCCATGTTGGGATAATTCCATCAGGAAAAACAGAGTTTCACAGTTTCCAGGCTCCCTTGACGATGCAGAGGTGCCGTGTGGGCTATGGGCTTCCATGGGCACCTTCTCTTTCCCCACTGCTTTCACAGAACTTTCGCGAACTTTCGGAAAAAAACCTTTGCAAATCTACGAAAAAATCCACACCCTGAATCGTGCTTGGGGATGCAGCTCCACTTGATTACAAAATAGCACGCGGGTCTATTTCATTCCTGCCATCCACTATTGAGTTCAGAAGGTTCTCACGTCACACCTCGAAAAGCAAAACAATACATATTAATATATGATAAACCACTTCATGAAAATAAACTTTCGGTTTATTTTTCACCAAAAATAATTTACTCTCGCGAACTCAGAAAAAAAACTTTCGTGGGGTCTTATGTTGTAACACCGGTGGCGTTCGTAATGGAGAATCCCTACATGGACCTTTAGATGGACTCCCATATGTATTTATCTATCTACCTATCTATCTCTACATATGGATGTGCATTTATGTACATATGTATATGTATATGTGTATACGTGTATATGTGTATATGTGTGTATGTGTGTATGTGTGTATGCGTATAGGTGTACGTACTAGTATTTGTATGTGTGTATGTGTGTATGTGTGTATGCGTGTATGTGTGTATGTGTGTATGTATGTATGTATGTATGTATGTATGTATGTATGTATGTATGTATGCATGCATCTATCTATCTATCTATCTATCTGTCTGTCTATCTATCTATCTATCTATCTCTCTCTCTCTCTATCTATCTATCTATCTATCTATCTATCTATCTATCTATCTATCTATCTATCTATCTATCTATCTATCTATCTAATCTATCTAATCTAATCTAATCTAAACTAAACTAATCTAATCTAATCTAACCTGTCTATCTATCTATCTAACTATCTATCTATCTATCTAACTATCTATCTATCTATCTATCTATGCATGCATGCATGTATGTATGTATGTATGTTTGTATGTGTGTATGTGTGTATGTTATGTTATTTTCTGTTATGTTATGTTATGTTTTGTTGTGTATGTAATTATGCATGTATGTACGTATGTGTGCATATATATTTATATACATACATATTTATATACATATTTATATACATATATATATACATATATATATAACTGTTATATAACGTTTTAGTTGCTTTGTGTTTTGCATTACTTTGCGGGCTGTGTGTGTTGTGTGTGTGTGCGTGTGTGGCATTGCACAATGAAGTCCAAGGTAGTCCAAGTGCTGGGCCGGTCTTCAGACCAGTATCCAATGCGGTAATCACCCCTGGAAGTGGTATAGGCCTTAGGAATTGCTGGGACAAATAGACATAACAAGTAGAAGTCGGCTGAGGATGCTGGTGAAGCGAAAACGAAACAGTTGAGGAGTCTTGAACCACCAGCTGGCATGCATCTCGATTGCTCATTCTAAAAATATAGTATCAGTAGCTGCGCTGCAGACTAACCAATCTGACCAAGTCTTGGACTCCTCGGCCGTGCCTTTTTCCACACCTGAGGGTGCTTTGTGTGGCACTGATTAATGCTGATTATCCGGGTATGTGTTGATTTAGTCTTTTATAATCTTTTATATATACAATTTGATAAAATAATATAAAATATCTATAAAAATATGCGTGTGTGTGTGTGCTTATCAGCTGTTCGGATCTGTGATCTGAGATCAGCACAGCCACTCTCCATCATAACACCTTCCATCTGGCCATGTGAACTTGCCCATTCCATGCTTCAAATCCTTAGGGCGCAAACCAGAGTCGTCGGAGTCGTCTGCTTTGTCGCAGCAACTCGCCATGATTTTGCACTGAAGCAGTGCAGTAATGCTCTCCATGGCGTTGAAATCAATGGGTTCAAAGCATACAGTTTTGCACAATCGCAAGTCTATGGACATACGGCAAGTCAATGTAAGTTCAAGCGTTTCTCACATGAGTGAAATCCCTGGTCTTCTTGCAAGATGTTGCGTGTCGAAAGTGTAAACTGAGGCGGAAGCGTCCAAGTATTCTCCTTGATAGCACATGTCACCTGATGGGAGGTTTGCGGCAGAAACCGAGAGACACGAAGAAGGGACCGAGCGGACGTGGTTCAACATGCATAAGAATCTGCGGGCCAACGCCATGCTAGTTGTAATCTAGAAGATGGCCGCGCCTACTAACTACTATCATAAACCATCCTGATGCGTGTTTCGTTTGCATGGGACTGCGAACACATCTGCGTATGCGTGTGTATAATCTATATATATATACAATACAATTACGCCTTCGCCCACACAATAACATAAATATGCATATGCATAATATGCATTTAGATAGCTAGACAAACAAACAGATAGATGGACGAGTGAGTGGATGGATTGACGGATGCATAGATGGATACATAGACGGATAGGTTGACAAATTGATAGATTAGGATGGATGGATGGATAGATGGACAAATGGACAGGTTGATACATCGATAATTAGTTGACCAAATAAAAGATAATAAAAGGATAGACGGATAAATGGAGATTGATGAATACAAACGTGTTCATACACAGCTACTTCGCCACGTGTGCAAGACTGGCCTTTCGGCGTCTTCCAAACCTCAGGGTGGTGCATGCATCAGTGACAAGAGTGCGCTCTTTTCTGAGGGTTTGATTGATTCCATCAACTCAGTGTGCTGAAAACTGTGTTGAATAGGTTTGCCATGGTTTACGGGGCTTGTGCAGCCCTTCTGGTACAAGATGCAGCGATCTATGTTTCTGGCCATCTTTCCCTTTCCAGAGAAATGGCCTTTCACATATTGTCCTTCGTAACATCGCCTCGCCACGCCACTGCCAAGTGCATCAAGTGCAAGAGCAGGCAGTGAAAGTTTGACAAATTGGGTCCAAAAAATGTCAAACTGAACACTGAACCTAGTAGATCCTACCAAATTCTACCAGATCCTACCAGTAGCTACTTTCTTAAAAAGAGTCTAGCAGCCAGCTCATTCCAGCTCTTTAAATATACCAGACATTACCAAACGAGTTTTTCTGCACTACTCAGGCTGCCAAGGTACCCATCATTCCATATTTGTCTTCCGGCGCCATGCTGCACATCATCTTGCCTGCCATGTCACAATATGCACATTGCATCACTCATTACATCAGCATCATCAAATATCAAAAAACGATGTTCATTGTTCAAGTCAAAAGCGCAAAGAAAGGAAACCTTGCAGCAATTGATCTCTAGTGTGTGTCTGTGTGTGTGCGTGTGCGTTTTGAAATGAACATGAGAATTGCCATGATCACTCCATCATCATAGCCGCTATCATAGCCGCTATCATAGCCCCAAAGTTCTACAAACATGGTAGGCAATACCACTCGCCCTCGTAGATCTCAGTGTGGCTTCTGAAAACCTGTTGGCAGCCAGGTTGGTACATTATAGAGCTGCACAAGGAGCTGCTATTCTGAACATCTGAGCCATTCTGAACCTCACCATTTCGAGCGCAAAGCTGGGGCAACAACCCCCGGGCCATGGCGAAGTCCATTTCGCAAGCATCCAGTGAAAGTAGAGCCGTCAGGATATTGCCTCACGCTTGCCAGCAGTGCAAGAAACGATTGCAAGGTTTTTGCACATCAATGACTGGCAACATCTCTGCAGATATTGTTGCGGCCTGTTTCTGTTCCTTCCTGGTCTCTGTTTTCTGATTTTCAGGTGCTTTCCATCCGTTCTTCTCCGCCCTGGACTTGTTTGTTCTTTACCCTCTCGTTTTTTTTTCTATCATCTTAGGCATTCTTAGGCCACCTGAGGCCAGAACAATGTCTTCTCTTCTAGACCAGTGAGCCTGCCACACAACATGAAAGGAATTCCAAGGTGCCACAGGCTGTTGAGTTGTGCCGTGCTGGTTTCGGCATCAAATTCCCATCCATAGTGTCATCATGTGCACTGTCAAGGACCCCTACGAGTGCCTGCCAAGCAAGCCTTCTAACACCTGAGACACAACGACAGCACAAAATTCCGCAAGTATCAACATGAGAGACATACGCTACTTGCCCGCTAAAAGCACATTTGACCGCTTTGGCCCTGACCCCTACTTCCTGAGATGTAGTGATGGTGGCCTGGACCCGGGCATTGGTCACAGTAATTACGTCACAGTTGAGGTCCAAATTCCGAAAATGCAATGCTGGCACCGCATGTGAAAACCGTCAGATCCAATGAATTTTGAGGTTCTGGCTTGACTCATAGTCCCTGACCGATTTAAGGCGGACGTTGGTGTCCGTCGAAGACCAAGGCCAGTTCCACTTTGGGATGCAGTTGGGCGATCTCCACCTTGCTCAGCACATCTTGGCGCTGCACGGTTGTACGGGCAACAGCATCTTCGACATCACAGTTGAGGCGTGGGCGGGGGTTAACGAAGGTTAGTTTTAGGGCAAGAGAAACAGAGGACAACGGTGCACTAGAGTGGCAGGCGAAGCTGCATGGGGGAACGAAAAAAAAAACAACACAACGGCAGCACATGTAGGTGTGGTATCGCGCGGGAAGGGAAGGCGACCTTGATTGTGCCAACTAACGTCTACATGCGCTTGCATCACGATGCATCAGTGTAGCAATGGATGAATGGCGTGCCCAACCTCGTGGGGTTCCAGCCGGTGACGTCCAAGCGTGCATCTGCTTGACCTGAAGTTTCCAACATCGAATCCAACCATCATCTGGTTCGTTCATCCAGATGTTTTCACAACATACCAAATACCCACCTCTCTAGTTTCCACGAACTCTTCGGATCCGACATAGCCGCTGGAACCTCAAATAGGACTTGTATATGTTAGCATCATCAAACATTTGCATATATGTGCGTATATGTGTGTATTACATTGGCAAACATGCTGTGCTAAAATCCATGGTTAAGGCCGAAACATGGGAGCGATCCATCTTTCGTTGGATCGCAGGCATGGCCTTGACTTTGCAAATGCGCAAACATGCGCAAACAATGGCATCAAAACAGCAGCTGCAACACTCAAAAGTGGTTAGTTCGAATTATATGTTCTCAATTTTTCCTGTCGGGCGATTGGCCGGCTGATAACTGCACCTTTCCAATCTGTGCCGAGATTCAGTACGAGCCACACCGTTCCAACGGGACCTGCATGCCACGTTGCCAAATTTCGAAATCATGTTGCTGCATCAACGCGCAGCAATCCATTGTTCAGCGCTTCTATGACTGATTTTGACTGTACCTACAGCGTTGCCCAAACTCTCACGCCAGTCAAAACATCAGCCATGCTCAGGCCTGGTTGCCCATGAAGTTCCAAATTTGGCCGGCCCGCACGTGCCGTGAGTCCAGTCAACTTTGCGGGCACAAATTCGCAGTTCCATGGTGAAAATTCGGACATAAATCATTTCATCACAAATCATGTGAACAAGGAGTAGCACCGCCCCAAAATGATAAGATAAGCAATCACGCTGTTCACGAGGGAGTGTGCGAGAGCCAACCCGTGTCCAAGGCAATGATTTTTGCAACGCTGGAGCGGGTTTTCGGCACCTTGACTTGCAAACGCCTTCAGTTTGTGCGTGTCATCCTTGCTGCACGGCTTTCTGCAACATGGTCCTACTGCACATGTTTGGCACTGCATGGGGATGAAACGTTGAACACCCCGCCTTGGTTTTTACTGGTTCTTACAGCACAACCATTAGTTCTTTAAGCCACTGCCCTTTTTAGGGTTTGGTTCCTGCAAAAGTTCAATCCATGTCGGATCTGGAAACTGAATTCCCACTCTCATCAGGCATTGGGCTCGTGTTTGCTGATTCCTCTTCTTCGCTTTCACTGGGGTCGTGGTGGTCATCCTCATTTTGTCTGTCTTCCACTGTCGCTCCATGAGCTGCTGCCACTGCATTTGCAAAAGCTCGCAACCGCTCTTCAGGAACGTCTCCATGCTCCACCATGACGCGTCACCACCTTGTTCCATGTCGCCCGATATTCCAAGGTGATTCAACTCCTCTTCTGCCTCCTCATTGGTTGCCTCGTGGATCCTAAACTCAGCCTCTCCCTCCGAGCTCAAAATCGTCGATCTCGTGGAAGAAGTTCTGCACCGCCTCATCTGTGGCCTGTCCACCTTGCCATTCATGCCATAGGCCTCTCATCACTTCCAATCGCTGGGTGTCGCGAAAGTTCCTTTGCACGGCCTCACTGGCGGTGAGTCCATATGGCGAATTCCTGGTTCTGCTCAGGAGCCGCCTCATCATCCACAAGAAAATGTCTCGCGGATTTGGCTCGTCCAAGTCTGATTCTGGTTCCCTTTCACTCTCGTTGCTACCTCCTTCTGGCTCTGGTTCGCCCTCAACTTCTGCAGGAAGAACACCATGACGTAGATCTCCTTGTTGAACTTCAGGACCATCTCCTCGAATTGTATCTCCAGCCATCTCCTCTCGCATCTCATCCTCAGCCTCCTCTGTTGTAAGACTCACGTAGAGCTCCTCAGTGTCGAAGCCTCCTGCAGACCTGAAACCAGCTGAAACGAATGGAAGTAGCTGTCTCTGAAGTGGTTGGGCTCTTCCAGCTTGATGTCCAATCTCTTCTCCTCCAACGCGATCTTGACATCCAAGAAGTCTAAGTAGTAGTTGAAGCCTCTTCTGCGAGTGACCTTTCGTCCCAATATCAGCAAGGTTCTGTTGGCCTGGCACTGGTTTGACTGTAACCTCTTTCTGCGCCACGCGTTCTTGAACCCAAAGTAATCCAGTTGCTATGTGTTTCGTCCTCTGAACTCCTTGCCTCTGTAGTATCTGTAATATGGACCTTGCTGCCGAACTGTCCATCCTCAACTCCAGGTAGGCCTTGTTCATGAAGACCGCCTCCAAGAGCCGCTTGAGATAGATACCATCTGCCAGGGCAGAAACTCCTGCCACAAATTCCGCCTCTCCTGAACTCAAAGCTATTGATCTTTGGGACCGAGTTACCCCAAAGAAGTAGTTGCCATTGAGATAGTACATCGCACATGATACGGACTTTCGTGTCTCGCGATCACCAGCCCAGTCTGCATCGCTAAAAACTTGAAGTAGGGAAGGACCAGAACATGCATGCGCTAGTTTCTTCCTCCTCTTTGGGGTACATCATGTCGTACATTGCAGAACTCACTGAACCTGTAGCAGTCATCTTCTGGGCATACTCCGTGGTGTTCTTGAGGTAGGGCACCACTTGCTTCAGCTCCTTCCAGTCTCCTTCGTCAGGACACGTCACTTTGGATGCCAGGGCTCGTGTTGCGCACTGAATGTCCGCGCGCCCTCCTGCCATGTAGAGTAGGATGCCCACGCAAGTTCTGAACACTCGGGCTTTGTCTACTGGCATCGGTTTGTCCTGCAGCCCCTTCTGGAACGGCCCAGTTGTAGGCACTGCCTTGCCTTTGTTCTTCTCTAAGTTCAGCTTCTCCACCATCTTGGTTATGTACTTGTCGCTGAGTTTCACCCACAAGTTTCCTTGTCCATCAGAAACGATCTTCCTTTTGAGAAAGGAACATTTGCCAGCAAGGTGAGGTCCACAAGGCCCTCCTACCTGCAATTGCCATCCTTCATCACGTAGGTGTTGAAGAAGCTCCTCAACCTTCTTCTCGCCCCCCATGATCTGCAGGTCGTCCACATGCGTTGAAACAACCAAGGGCAAACTGCTCTCGTCCTCCTTTGCCTTGAAGAACACCGATGGGTTCGCACTGTATGGTTTCAAATCCTTTTTTTTTAAACCTCAGACAGCAAATCATACCAATTCTTGCTGCCAGTTCGTTGGCCTGGTAAGTTGCGACCCAAGATGTAGCGCTCGCCTGTTCTGGTGACCACGTAGGCCTTCTCCTCTTGCTCCACCATCGAGGCTGCGCTGAACAGTCCTTCAAGCTCCGGGGTCAAGAATTTGTAGTCGCGGGTAGCAATCTGCTCCTCCTCTGCCACTTGTTCTCGCGAAAGCGCCACTCCTTCACTTGCTTCGTTGTAAGCCTCCTAAAGCTCTCATCAATGCGGTGCTCCTCATCCTCTTTGAGCCACACGTGCATCTCAATCAGCCTCCTCTCTTCTCTCTCTGCTGCCTCCGCATCGACCTTCTCCAACTCTTCTGCGCTTAATGTAGGTGGCCCATCGTCCTCGTGCTTATCCCATTCTGTAAGGTCGATCTCCCCAACTTCTCCCCATCGACCTGGCTCCTCAAGCATCAACCTCCACCTCGTCATTCTCTCCCAGGATGACCTTGGTGACCTTGTTCAAGTTACCTGCAAACGTTGGTGAAGATGACAACGTCCTCAATGTAGACAAAGTTGATGATGAACACGACGTAGCTCCTGCGGGAAGAACTGCTGTATGTCTCCTCTGAACCTTCTCTGGGGGTTCCTCAACCCCTACCAGTTTCTGAGCCTTTTGTGGCGCCTCTTCCTCTCGCGCATCCTCACTTCTTTTGTTGCTAGACGTAGCTGCTCCTCCTCCTCCTTGTTGAAGTTCCACGTCCATGGCTGCGTCCTTCTCTTCAACAGTCCCCGCGCTCTGCTACCCTATTCAAAATCAAGATGATCCAAAAAATTTATCTTTTACGCCACTACACAAAATGTTATTCCAAAATATTCCAAACCAACCTCCATCCATTGCAGCCAAGCGTAATCCACCAACACCACGACAACCCATCTGAGGTAGTGGCCTCCAGCCGGAGAAAAATAACGACAAAAAAAAATATACTTTACTTCGAGTTATCCCCACCATGACATTTATACGTCTTGTTACTGGCAAAACTTCTGGCATTCTATCATTCTGACACCTTCTGGCATTTTATCGGGCATATCTTCTGGCATTCTATCTGGCATACTTTCTGGCATTCTACCTGGCATATCTTCTGCAATATATTCAATATGTTCTTGCATATTTTTTGGCACTCTATCTGGCATATCTGCGAAAAAGGAAGTTCACAGGCAGCTAGCGTATTGGGTTCTCCCCTTTCGCCTTTGAATTCAATCCTTTAAAGGGGCTGCAGGCATATACACAAGTTGGCTCAAACCCCTAGGTCTTAACCAAAAACTGTACAAGTGACACATGGTAATTATTAATGACACGTGTGCGGAATTCACACCTCCCTTTAAGTCTAGGGGTGGTTTTTCCTTGTCCGTTTTGGACTTCTACTACAGGCGGACGGCTCACGGCTCAGTCAAGGGGCTCCAAGGACCTGCTGCACAGTCACAGCGCCAACCAATTTTAGATTAAACTCTTTTGGGCGAAAACCTTTCCAATTTTCCGGGTCCTTTTCCTTGATGAACTTGACGGTTGACTTAGTGACCGCGGTGCTACCCGCAATGTCACGAACATCTACAATTGCGAGGGGCGGCAAAGCTTGAAGAACCTCGGAGCCACCTTGCGCGTGCTTTGTGAGGAAATTACCTGGGTTGGACGTTCTTTTGACTTTTCGGATTTGGATTTTACCAGCATGAAGCGCACCTTGGACGTAGAACTCACAAACCTCTAAATGCCTGAGCTTACTACCCGGACCGATCCCCTTGGACGCAGTCAGTGCTGTGGAACTGTCGGACCACAACGTGGGAATAGAGGTAGGGAGACCAAAATCTTCTTTGGCGAACCCGTAGAATCCCGTAGATGAACAGCGCTTCTCGCACAGCTCTGCTGATACCACGCAATTCGGCAAGTGGCTGGTAGGCCCGGCTGAGTTTGTGTGGCCACAGCAATTGCAGCTCCTCCTAAGTAGGCAACATGCGAGTCTGTACTGCGTCTTGTTTCTGCGCACCGTGCCCAGTCTGAGTCAGAATACACATCCAAGCTTAGTTCTCCATCGTAAGTGTTTGGATCCAACGCTTTCACCCGCACATATTCAGGATGAGCTTGCAAATATCGGGCTAGAACCACTACACAATCCCAGTCACATTGTCGAGGGGCAGCCATTCGCCGCGCCAACTCTTTTATTCCAAACGCTATATCGCGACGGTCAGCAGACAGGTACATACCGGATCCGATTGCGGACCTGTACCTGCTTGCCATTTCGGCGTTCAGTGGCTCGTCGCGGTTTAGGTCAGTTTTTTTTGAAGGCACTCGCGAACGCTCTTTTGGTCCAATGCCCAAAGTTCGGATGATGTTTTCTGCATGCTTTGGATCAGGCGCCGTCAAGATGGCACCGGCTAGGCGTACCTTTCTTCTACCTAGCACTTCCACTGCGACCCCCTCACGTTCAAGAGGGCCAGATTGGATTTCACAGTAGCGGGGGATGACCTTATCAATGAGATAATTCAACATTGATGTAGGTCCCGCACACCGAACATCATCCACATGGACTAGCGTCACCTTTGTTTTGTTACAACGGCAGACACAAGGGTCGCGCATTCCATGTTTGAATTCAAACTCAGGCTTCGGTTTGGTGCACAGAATGTCTTCAAGTTCATCCCTGTACACCGAGCTAGCCGTGCGGCGGCCATATTATAGGTTGCTTTCCAAGCGAAAGAGGTAGTCAGCAAAGGACGCCTTCGCTTCTGCGATTTGAGCTGGTGTCCAGGGTTGTTGTGATACCTACTCTTCAAACAAAGGGCGCCACTCAGGCGGGGCTCTCATGTAGACAGGTTCGCCTTCTTGTGCACCGCGGTCTTGGCCAATCAGAAAAGCAGTCACTCACTATGTCAAAAGTACGCATGGCATAGCCATGTCTCATAGCAGAGACTTCCAACAGTGCATGGGATTCCGGTGTTGGTGTCGGAACAAAGACGTTCATGTCCTGTTCCTCTTCTGAACGGTATTTCCATTTCACGTCAGCGCAGGTGAAACGGCTCTTGTAGACACCATCCCGCTGTTTGTCGACCCATTTGAACTGCAAGATTTTGCTACCTTTTGGTACGTCAGTTTTGAGGACGGGCACGAACGCGTTTTTCTTCCACAATTTTTCTAACTGGGTGAAACGCGTTTTCTGCACTTCTTGAGTGTCAAGGACGCCATCTAACCAGCCCATTACCGCTGCCAGACGTTGGAATCATGAGGGTTGCCTTCTTCAGTAGATTCGGCACATTTAGCTACAGTTTTCCACACTTCTTCTGCGTGAAGTTTTCCGATTTTTGGTTTTTTGGGCTGTTCTTCCCGCACCTGTTTTGCTGGCCTTTGTTCTTCCACCCTACTCGGGTCCCCGATGCGCTTTGATGTCGGGGACATCCCCCCTTCACCAAGTCCGGCGGGCATTGCTGGCGAGCTTGGCATGGAAGCCATGGGAAAGCTCCATCCAGCACCCCGCACTGCAATCGGAACATCGGCGCCGTTGCCATCGTCATCTGGGCTGTCCATCGGAATTTCGGGGACCGGTGTTTCAGGCGATGATGCAGGCGTGGTAGGCTCTGGCTCGACATCCATAGGAGACTCTCCAGGTAGAGACAAAGAAAGAGAAGCCTGTTCGGCTTCCAAAAGTTCTGCCATTGCATCTCCCTCGGCCGCTAAATTTGGAAAATCCAGTCGTTCCGCAGGGCCGTCTTGGGCCATCACTGCTGGAGACCCTGGAAAGGATCGCTCCCCTGTTGTGCGAGGTTGCGGTGCCTGCGGCACAGGTAAAGCGAGAAAAGGTGGAGATGTTTGAGGTGGCGGGATTTGCCGCTCTTCTACCCCATATTGGCTGCCAAGGGAGTCCAGTGACGATGCCTAACGTTGATTAACGTTGCTGCTTGCGATTGGTTTGAAGGTGGGGGACGACGTACGGAGCGCACACTCAAGGCCCCAGCTGCTGTCAAGATGATGTGAGTATCATCCCGCTCAAGTCTCCCTACCCAGATGCCTTTCACCCAGCATCTTTGCGTTTTTGATCGTTTTTGTGCCAGGCTGTGGCAAACGGGCCATGACGGTCTCACTGCAGCGGGGGCTGGCACAGAATAGCAACAGGAGCCATGAGGCCTGCAGGTCGCCCAAGGCTGGGATGCGGTCGAGCAATTGGTCGTGCTGGGCGCGCAGTTGTTGCAGCTGGTGTTGCTGGTACTGTGGCGTGCCCAATGGTGTGCCAAGGACCATGAGGCCTTGTTCTGTGGTTGGCAGGTTTTGGTTGCCGACCCACACGTTGTCGCCTAACCCCTCGAGGTTTGGTGGCCTGAGGCCGGCAGCATTCCACACACGAGTTTTGCCGGTGTTCAGTTGTATGTGTGCACTGTGGAACAAATGGTGTGACAGCAGGTCGAACACGGGGCGTACCCGTGCCGGGGAAACAATGGTGTAGACATCGTCAAGGAAAGCATATAGTGCTTCTCCGGGCTGGAGCTGCTGCTGCACGGCTTGGAGTGCCGCTTTCTGCCCTAAAGAATACAAAGCTGGCATGAGCGGATCACCTTGTTCGCCTCCTTCGGCTTGAGTGATGTCATGGGGGTTGCCTCCTGGTCGTGCCACACATACGTGGACGGCTGTGTGTAGAACATGCTGACGAAGGGGAGGCATCGGTTGGCTTCAGGTACTTCTTGCAAGGCGTTCAACATGCTTTGCGGGCCCGCCGCAAATTCGTGAGCAGGAGTGTGGCTTGGAGGTCTGGGGGCTGGAGTGTTTGGCCATGCGGGGGTTGGTTCCCGGCAGGCTGATACCGGGCTGGCGGGCGGCGGTTTGGATCCCGAAGTTCGTTCAGAGTGTTCTCATTTCCCGGTGCCAATGCTGTGGCCGTGAGGGCCTGCCGTGCGGCGGACAGCTCCCATTGGTGGATGAGTTGGCATGCCCTTCTGGCTTGATGGTCTGGTTGGGGTTCCTGGGGTGGATTTGCTGGAGAGGCTGCAGTGGCCCGAGCTCGTTGGAGCAAAGCTAACCATTAGCCAGACTGGAACGCCTGGATCCGGGCATACCACTCTGGTTTGGGCAGCGTTCTGGCGCCTGGCTGTCTGTGTAAGAGCATCCTTGGCAGCAAGAGCCAAAGTTTCCATGCCCGAACTGTTTGTTGTTCCGTTTCGGCGGCATTGATGGCATCAAGTGCTGTGGCTAGTGCTTGTCGGATCCGCCCTCTCAAGAAAGGAGGCGGGGATTGGAAACCGAAAAATTTTTGCTTCAGCACCGTGTCGAGGTCCACTTGGTCTAGACTTTCCAAGGCTTGCCTGAATTGCTGTGGCTGTTGGTGGGGTGCGGGCGGGGCCCTTGGCATAGTTGAACTGGAGGAGGTGGACGATGTCGAAGTGGTACTGTTGGTGCTGGCGGTGCTGGAACTGGAGCTGGGGCTGGGGGGGTGGTCCGGTGGGGTGGGTTGCTGCTGGGTCTCTGCGGCCGTGTGTGGCATGGTTGGTTGTGGGCCCGTCGGGATGGACAGCGGTGTGACGTTGGGAGGTTGCCGGTCAGCTTGCTGTGGTGGAGTGTGGCTGGGTTGGCTTGGCACTGGGGCTGGCATTGGTTGCCTCCATCTGTCTGCCAGGAGGGCCGCTTGTGCCGCCAGGCGGTCTCCCAGGAAGGTGTGGAGTAAAGCTTCCTGCGCTGTTGCCGGTATATACCCCGTGGGTTCGGTCAAGTGGTCTAATGCCCACGGCAGGTGAATCCGCGTTGCTGGTGGCAAGTGTGCTGTTGCCCTGGCGAGAGTGGCCTGGATGGACGCCTCGCTGGTGGACAGGTTTCCTCCAGTGTGGGTGCTTGGATGACCGCGCCTACTTGCATCTAGATAGCTCAGTTGCCTCACATAGCTCTTACATGCATGTGACATGCATGTGCGCTAAGTGGAGATAGCAAGTCTGCTAACAAGGGTTAGCAGACTTAGCATGTCTTCTATGTGTGCTAAGTGAGATGCATGACTTGGAACACATGCTATCTATATGCATGTGTATGCTATGTAGATAGTATGTAGGCTAAGTAGATAGCTCACATAGTATCTACTTACGGCGCACTTAGTATCTAGATAGTGCCTACTTAGCTAAGTAGGCTAAGTAAGATAGGGCCTACTTAGCCCACTTAGCTAAGTAGACATAGCAGACATAGACTATGTGGTCTAAGTATGCTAAGTAGGGTTTTGGGCATACAGTTGAACCTTGGATTTATATTCGAAGGGAGAATGGTTTTTCGTTTTCAAACTGATGATTTTTCAAATTCTTATGTTGCAGAGAGGTTACGTTGGACAAAACACAGCTTCGTTGTTTGTTTATTACCTATGAAATTCATGGTTTTGATGATGGCCGCATGTTTTTTGAATAAAACCACGCACCAATATATACAATAGAAACCAGTTGTTGGCATCTCGTTTGTTTGAATCTTCACATGCAATGAACCACAGATTTTTGTTGTCACATGTGAAATTCAGAGTCATGAGGTTTTTTCTGGAGACAAAACAACAAACCAAACCAACAAAAACATATTGGTTTTATTTTTTTTGGGTTGAACCCTTAAATATGGGGTCCGACCGCCCCGCCACGTGCTTGGCGCGCGCAATCGAGAACATCATGTTCCACGAGGTGCCATTGGGTGGGATGGTTATAGGGTTATGCTTGCATCTCCTTTTTGAGGCATTGAACGAACATCTTGATTGGACATTGTTTGCAATGGTTATTTATAGATCTTTGATTTTCTTCTCTGCAACTTGTGTTATGTATAGCTGAACGGTTTTTCTGATGAATCGACATGTGAACAACTGCTGTCACCTGATCACCTGCGAGTGCTTTTTGATCATCTGCCTGAATTTTGTTTTTTGGGCTCATATTTGCACACGCAGGGCGTCCAACGCTCGTGTGTGCTAGATTGCAGGGCGTCACACGCTCGCATTCCCTTGCAGCCATGAATCAGGCTGCCACCGATGAGATAGATGCTGCAGTGAAGGCAGCAAAGGCACCAGGTGCTCCACTGGTGAGTTCCATCAACCGGGTGTTCACTATTTTACGGTCCCACAAGCTCATGCTGGAACAGCAAATAGAGCCAAGCTTCATTGGCATCCATGGCATGAACAGGGATGGCCATGGAATTGCTTGGAAAGACGCAGAGCGTCTTCTGCAGGCCATCCTAGATGTTGGCTTTGATGCAGGATCGGTGATTCAGCCCACCTGCAGTGAGCGCATGCCTGGTGACAATGAATCCCATGTCTTCAATGAAAGAATCTCGCAAGAGTCCCGTGGCCGTGTCCCATCGATCTCTGACCAGCATCTGAAGTACTTGAGCCTATCCTGCAGCCACCTCAACACCACTCTGCGGATGATTGCAGCTGGTGCCAAATGCAGCGAAGAGCTGTCATGCAGTGAGAACGGAAGTATAAGCATGCACAAGGTCGAGAAGAAAGATCCAACCTATGCATCCTATGCCAGGAGTGGGCTGAGGTGGAATGTCATCAGCCACCATGTGATGAGCAAATGGCCTGAATTGGCACAGCTTGTCCAGGCAGCCCTGAACACAGGGAGCGCTGTTGCGAAGGAGGAGCACGAGATGCAGATACTCCTGAGGATCGCTCGCAAACTTTCTGCAGGCCCATGCCAGTGGGACCAGGTCAAGCAGGAGCTGCAGAGAAGCAAACCGAGATGCATGCAAGCAATGCCGCACATGTTCACATTCTGTGTCCTGTACGGATCCACGTTGCTGGAACGCACCACCAGAATCGTGGCATCGTCGAATGCACCAAGAAGGAGTCTTGGGGCAGACTTCTACGATGCTCTGAGTCAGCAGCCGAAGCCGAAGGACAGCGATCCTTGGATCTAGTTCAGGCATGCCCTTTTGGCCTGCGCCTACACGACCCCTGCAGAGAAGTTGATATCTGCAGGCGATGCCAGAAAGCTTGCAGCCAAGGGAGCGGCTGAGGGCATCGAGAAGGCCAATGGCCTGATGAAGGAGATCCACAACATGGTAGTCTCTATGGTGCCTTCTTCTCAAGTGCCCACCTTAGCACCACTCCTGGGGCTGTTTGAGTCGCAGCTGGTCTACTTGGCATTGGACAAGAAGCACAAGGACATCACGGTCATGTCGACCATGGAGCATGCCTGTTTGGCACTTTGCAAGGAGGTTCATGAAGCAGTTGGAATCACTCTGTCAAAGCAGTGGGACCATTTGGATGATCCCAGTGGTCAAACTGGCAAGGCCAGCGCAAAGCGGCTGAGCAAGCCGAGGGAGTATGACAGCACAGGGAAGTTGAAAGATCCCTTTGTGCTGCTCCACGAGTGTGGATTTGTTCCAGGTGCATGGATTGCAAGGAAGCAAGACAAGTTGGTGGCCAAGCTTTTGAAACTTGAGAATGACCAGGTGACCATCGAGTGCGATGGTGATCAATATATTGCCCAAATGTCGGCATTCCTGGAAAACAAGTGGAAGCTCACAGATGAGCCAAAGGCCAAGGAGGAAGCGGACCATGTGGCAAAGGCCGCCTTCAATAGCCCTGAGCTGGCGGTGGCTGTGACCAAAGGCAAGATCATGGAGAAGCTCATTGATTTAGAAAGGCAGCACAAGGCCTCCCTGAACAAGATCAAGGTCTTCACAAAGCCATCCAAGATGGTGGAAGCTTCTGCAGAGGTGGAAAAGGGGAAGCTCACCCTGGTGCCAGCCACGAACGTGGTGCAGGCCCACAATGAGCCGAGGAAGGGCCTGCAGCTGGGCATGTGCGGCACCGCAGACAGCCACTTCAGCCTGGGGGCTCCTGCAGGCAAGGTTGTCGTGCCGTGGTGGTACGTGAAATCGACCAACGACACTGAGAAGGCCAACATGGAAATCATTTCCGCGTTGGACCCACATGATCCCAACAAGAACCTGAAGGTTCCTTTGATGAAGAACAGCAAGCCCCTCGAGATTGGGGATGTGCTGATGCGATATGAGCAGAAGACTGAGGAGATCCCCGAGGAGTTAGTCCCAATGCCGGCTGCTGGATCAGCAAACCCCAAGTCTGGTCCTGCCCCGAAGAAGCGTAGGATTGGCAAAGGCCAAGGTGAGTAGAAAATCATGTCTCTGCCATGCCTTTACTGCCAGAACGTGTTCTTGCACGGCCTCAACCTCCATCTGCATGAGCAGAAGCGGCAGGTTTGTTTCTCATGTTGAATGCGACATCTCATTTTTTATGTTTTCAATCGATATTGAAATCATTTCAATCTCATGTCACAATCATGTTGGATCGACAACCTTCACTGTTTTTAGAGATGTCGTGAGACCGGAATCTTGACATCTGTGGGTGTCTGACCGACAGGCAGGTTTTGAGTGGGCACAATATCGAGAAACAAAACTGCATCCTGTCCCAACATGCAATTTGTTTGTTTATAAACATTCTAGCGAGCCATCATGAGCCCTGCTAGCAGCAGGAGCGAGTCTTTTGTCAGCAAACCCTGCTTTTCCTGCTATTTGTTTGCACGCCATTCAGTTTAGCCGCAAACCAAACAACCTATCCTTTTTTATGCTTTTGCCATCCAGCGTGCATGTCACCCCAACCTGTGGCCAGGTTCACTTCTTTTCGATTCGCTTCCCATGGTACGCCCCCAGCCCGGCATGGGAGGGCCAGGATTGGATTGATGAGTCAATAGGATTCAGGACCTTTTTTATTCGACATTCCTTGATGAGGTCAAAATCAAAACAGTCAACCGTGATGAAACTTACCATTGAAAAATCGTTTTGAAATCATGACGTCAAACTTTTAATCCTCGTTGTGACAGTCTTGGATTTCACGTTAAACAACCAAAACTTGCGTTTGGCCAAGATGTCTGAAAACATTCACATTGCTCGCAAAGATTTGGGTTTAGAGTGAATCTACAGTTTTTGGAGAAATTATCATGGAGAAGTTGGAGCGCCCTGCAGCTGGGAGCATGCCTGAGAAACATGAAGACCCAACAACTTCACAGGACTTCATGTACGAGTGTATACATATCTGCAGTGTGTGTAGATTCGAAACATGCCAACAATGTCAAAGTGTACATATGGGGTATAATGTGCGTTAAACCCAACCATGTTAACATTAACATTAAAACGGTCTTAACGTTTTGGTTCAGGGTGGCTTGAGCACATCTGGAGGACAACCCAGAGTTCAAGACTGGTGACACCGCAAAGTTTCGTCAGCACATCTCCAAGTGGGCCGATTGGACCTACTCCAGGAAGTTTGGTGAAACTATCGATGCAGTCGATGACAACCATGGGGGGGGACGATCTGAGTCGGCCGCACCAAAGAAACGGTTGCGAATTTGCGACCCCAATGATTTTCAGCCCAAAAAAGATGAGTCCAATAATCGTGATGATGACAATCGCGATGATTACCATGACAATGATGATAAAGAGTCAGAGAAGACTCTGATCTTGGGGGCTGACTAATGTACTTGACAACATAACAACATATATGTATATAGCCTGAGATCCCCAATGCCAAGCTACATATGGCACGTGTTTTTATAGTTGCTGCAGTGATCAACCAACAGCGACGTGATGCCAGAAAGGGAGATTCCTGGGTCTGGTGATTTGGTATATTGTCAAGCCGATTGAAACTTCACCATGATGCATGCGAAAGATAATCTGAGTTGAGCACATTGCGCAATTTCTGTCATGCCCATTGACAAAAAATAGACATGCACGATGTGCAAGTTCTTCGTTTTGACATGTCAATGGCATGCTCATCGACATGCATGCTCGCTGCACAGATTGTCATTGCATGTGCAGGGCTTAAGCAAAAGCTCGCGCATCGCACAACTGCAGGGCGCCCAACGCTCGCAGTGTCAGTCTAGATCTGTAGTGACACTGAGCCATGTCCAGGCAGCGTGGTCCTGACTCCCAGTCAAGTGAAGACGCCGGCGGCGCCTGCAGCGTCCAGGTGTCCCTGCGCCACATCGTCCAGGACGGTGCCAAGGGGAAGCCATGGACACCAATGTGCATCCAGAAGATGGACGCATGCTTCGCAAAATGTTCCAAGTTCGACCGAGGATTTGTCATGTTCACGCTGGAGCGGAACATGTTGACTACGTCCAAGAAATCGAGCAAGGAGCCAGTCTCATGTAATTTGCCCTCCTTCAACTCGTTGTTGCGAGCAAGACGCGAGACCTCCATCAAGTGCGCGCAGGACGCACTGGAAGTCGAAGAGATGGAGACTGACGACACCCCCCAGATGAAGAAGCGCAAGATCAAATCCTCACATGAAGCGTTGGTCAATCCAGTGATCAGCATCCCCTTCCCAGAGTGTGGGGACTGGCCCGAGCGGCAGGTCAATGTGCTGTGGGGGGTCAAGTCCAGCGACCTGTGGGTCGAATTGACACCGGCCAATATGAAGCACTTGAAGTGCATTCTGAAGACTGAGATGGAAAAGGGCGAGGTGACCTGCAAGAAGAAAAGTTCACCGAAGAAGAAACGGGCATCGCCGAAAAAGTCTCCGAGGAGGAGGCTGCGCCGCTCCACTCCCTTGGCGGAGTCGCCCATGGCCGATGGTGAGCAGGTGGAGGGGACTTTGGTTGACTCGGATCATGCTGAGGAGGTGGCAGAGACCTTGGAATATGTTGAGGGATGACATACGTTTCATTTCCCTCAGTTGTGATCACGAGTCTGGATTTGTTCCAGGAGCATGGATTCCACCCAGCCAGTTTTGATTGGCATTTGAGCCGCTACGCGAGTCGTGGAACGACCCTGCTGTAGACCTGGTGCGAGCTTCCGTGAAAATCCCTGCATCCAGTTAGGTTAGTTTGGCATTTGAGCCACTGACGTCTATTCCTATAAGGTCTCAGATTGCAAAGTTTCGGCGTTTCAGTTTTGACTTTGCTGTGAACAATCTTGCATCGAGTTAGTTCAACATGTGAGTATTGATGTGTGCTCAAACAGTTTCAAGTGGTTTTCAAAATTTTTAACATCAAAACTGCATATACAACATGAAAGATATACACTTGCACTTACAATCACACACAGTCACGCATGAATGGTTTCAATCTGCAATCCATGGTGGATTGAAACATTTGCTTCATATGTTTGAGATCCAAATCATTGTCGACATGGCTGATGGCTCAAGGCCTGCCGCTGTTTTCTTACGACATGTGCATGTGTATTTCCATAGGCCATCACAGCATGCCGATTGGCATCAATTTTTCACAGCATGCCGATTGGCACCCATTTTTCACGGCAGGCCGATTGGCACCAACTTTTCACAGCAGGCCGATTGGCTACTTCAGTGATATACTTTCATTTTTTTCAGCACCATGCAGGCACCACATGAGATCAAGCATATGCTTCCCATTTTACGCGCAGAGCTGGTGAGATGTTTACCCACTGCAACTTCCACTGCCATGCGGTTTCAAACCTCAAAGTTTCCATCAAACTCAGTGCAACTCCACGCCCCAGGCCACACCATTCACATGTATATGGAACTATAGCTCCATGGTTAGCCACACTTCGATCATCGGTTGGCTTGAAGCCATGGTGGCGCCAGCTGCTGGTGAGGAGGACGCCTTCGCTGAGCCTGGTTCTGCCACGAGAGTTCTGCTGAAAGGACACGCAGAGGCGCATGGGTTCCAAACATACATGTCCTTTTTTGAGGTGAATGTTTCTTTCTGCCTATTTGTTTAGGGCTTAGGGACATCACCCAACAACAAAGTTCTCCCATGTTTCAACCACTGGTTAAACCCAAGTCCACACACGATGGAACGAAACAATGTCCCCTGCAGGTGGACACCTTTCATGAATATGCTGAAGCTGCTGAAGTGCCTGAAGAAGCTGCGCCGCGATGGGGCACCGCAGAATGGGCAACTATGGCCAAGGAAGAGGAGGATCAGCAGGAGGTGGTGAACATAGCGGCATGGGAAGCATGGGCCAGGGATGAGCCGCAGTATGATGCTGTGGAGGTGGAGGATCCGGCTGCTGATGGAGGTGCTCCTGCAGCTGGTGACGGAGATGATCGTGATGATGCAGCTGATGATGGAGATGTGCATGCTGATGGAAGCTGGCATACTGCTGCTGATGATACGCCAGCAGGTGCTGCAGCTGCTGCTCCAGATGCACCTGCTGCTCCAGATGCACCAGCTGAGCCTTCAGATGATGGCGCAGCCGTACCACCATGGAGAGGTGGTGCAACAGATGCAGGCAACGGCAAAAACCGAGGGAAGTGGGGAAAGTGGAAAGGCCGCGGCAGAGGCAATAAGGGCAAGGGCAAGGGCAAGGCCTACAGAGGAACTCGGGGCGGCCGTGGCCGAAATGAGAAGGGCAAGGGCATGGGCAAGAAGCGATGCCGTGACGATGCTGATGATGATCAGCCGGATGGTGCAGCCAGTCCTTCGGCACATTTATTTATTATATAGTAGACCCCAATAATACCTATACTTCCTTGCCAGTCATGTTGTGGCTCAAGAATCTTAACATGGTCCCATCACAGTTACAAAGAGCCACCAATTTGATTACCTGGTGCGAGTTTGCTTTGAAAAACCCTGCATCCAGCTTGTTCGGCTGTTGTACATGTTTCAGATTTGGGGCTGTTGTTCACTGTCATTGCCAAGGCTCCAGCAATGGCAAAGGGGAGAAGGCCGCTCCCAAGCCATTCTGGGCCTACCGTGGCCAGAAACAGAGTGAGAAGGCCGGCAATTCGAGCCATCCGGTGGGCAAAGTGGACCAATGGGGGGGCCGCTACGTCCCTGGAGGGTACGAGATCGATGGCCAGTTCTTCCCGCTACCTGGTGTTGATTGGTTTGGATATCTTTTCACTGTTCCAACCATCTTGTGGCTGGCATCTGTTTAAATAATGACATCTTTTTGCGTTCTTCTGACATCGGATCCATTATCCCAGATTGTGTTTGGCAACATCAGACTCAAAGTGTTTATGACATACTTTTCCTCTGTCCCTGCGGCCCAGGTTTGGCCAGGGAAGGCAGCGCGCCCGCACGCGCGGGAAGGGGCCAGCCGGTGTGCAGCAGCTCCAATGGCAGGCTGTGAGCGATCTGGCATCCGTGGCCCGAGCAGCAATGGAAAGCCGTGGGTCCGGGTAGTGAAACATGTAATAACCACCCTCAAAAGTCGTCAATGGTGTCACACCTTCTGGGAAGTGTACTGTAATGATGAAATGAAATGATTAGCCTGGATCCATGCACAAATGGAAAATGTATACTGCCACGCACTGCATCCCAAAAAACAACATGTACAAACCGTGTTGTTGACCGCGCAGTGCCGAACCAGCTAGATCTGCCTTGCTGGCGCATGATGTCAATAGAAGAAGTTTTCCAGTTACATATTTCATACATTATACACATAGATAAAATTATAATACATACGTGTATATAAATATATAAACACTACACATTTCAAAGTGCTGTGTTGAGAAATGACTTCCTGCCTAGCAAGGCGGGCAGAAGTCATACCAAAGGGCTGGGGGCATTCACTGATGCAATGATGTTTGTATAAGACTAAGTCATGTCACCAATCATTCAATGACAATGCACTGCGCATTGACGGCATCCCCCGGCTTTCATCATTGGTCAAGCGGCGGCAGTGGCTGGATTGCTCACACATCATGTGGTTGAGAGGGGAAAAAACGGTAGCTCAAAGAAAATGCATTGATCGATATAAGGATTCAGTATTCTTACCACAAACAAACAACCAGCATTCCACATACAATTGTTTTTTGATGCAGTGTGAGCAAACCAGCCATTGGACCTGGAGTTGTTTCACCGCGTTCGTTTTTATTTTAGATGATGATTCAGTCAATTGAAAGGTGAACATAGGTATACAAAGAAATGCAGTGGACATGTGATGACAGAAAAAACAATCGTTCTCACATCCTTGACATGAACTTTTTTGAGAGCCTTTCGACTGAATTTTTCAGTGCCCTGAAGTACGGCAGGGCGAGCCGCCAAGGAAATGCCGAAACTGAAGTGCTAATTAAATGGCATTTAGGTGGGTTTCACTGGTTTGTTGACCTCCAAAAAAAAGACGTGAATTCAAATTACTTTATTATGGATTCACAAAATTTGGATATACTTGCATTCAAATTTTTATGGATCCACAAAATTTGAAAATACTTGCATTCAAAATTTTATGGATCCACAAAAAATGGTTATACTTGGCACCAAAATTTTATGGATCCATAAAATTTTGGCATTCTTGGGATCAAAATTTTATGGATCCATAAAATTTTGGCATTCTTGGCATCAAAATTTTATGGATCCATAAAATTTTGGCATTCTTGGCATCAAAATTTTATGGATCCACAAAAAACTGATTCTACATAAACCATAATTTTGTGGATCCACAAAATGTTGACAATTCAATTCATGAAACTCTATTGTTTTACAAAACCAATATTACAATGCATTTCCCACAAAACAATACGGAAACTTTAGGATTCGATGTGCTGTCGCATTCACAAATTCATGAAACTGTCTCAAAATATGGATCACGACCGTGCTCATGTATAATTTAATGAATCACTTTAGATTCACACATGACGGTTAGTTTCGGTGTTTCAAACCAAGCTTGCCGTGCTTCATGCACAACGCGCACAGATGCCGTGAGCCACCCGGCGCGCAAAACATGAGAACTGCGTAAGAAGTGTTGGGGTATTTATATGTAGTTTTTTCTTCGATATAAACCTTTATCACAACCAACAGTTGTTTTTCTCTTCAAAACAATCAAGAATGGGTCACTTTGTCCTAGGTTCGGTGGAATGTGTCTCAGTGTTGACAATATGACGCACCGATCTGAATGCAATCTAGCTGACATGAAATTGTTAACTGCGTCCATTAACATAGGCTGAGGCGGAGGTATCATCATGTGATGTTTCAGAGCACAGCTGGCACTGACAGATCCACTGTCTTGCAACAGCCTGCAGTGTCCATCATCACATCCCATGTTACACAGACATGGGTATGTGTGCAAACTCTTGGAATTCCGTTGTGTATGCAGGGTCTGCATTTACTCGCATACACACATGCAAGCCTGTCTGTTTTCGGATTGGTTTCTTTGGGGTAAGCCATCCTCTCAAATCCAGTTGGTTTCGCTTATTGGTAGTATCATAGTATTTCAAATGATTCCATCAATGCATGTCATACACACATATGGGAATGCTTGCAGGTGTTTCGAACCTTTGGTTCGACTTCGTTGTGTGTGTGCAGGGTTTCAGTTACTCGCGCACACAGATGCAGGGCTTCACTGCTCGCATACAAGCTCAAACAGTAGAAACTTAGTGTTGGTATTTGCTGTGTTTCTTTGCTATGGCTGGCTGGCAGTACAAAATGATGAACGAGCTTGATCGTGAGCGAGCACGCTCAACGGTGGGGTGGTCGAAGTGTGGGCCAACAGCTTCCGGGCGATTGACCCTTATGCTTGATGGCACTATCCCACTCCATGAGGGCATCTACATCAGCACTAGCCCGTGTGTGGCTTTCAAGTGGCGCGGTGCTGAGATCATGGAGGACCCGCTCAGCCTCCTCATGGTGAGGAATGATGCCAAGGGTGGGGGCGTCACTCGGTGGATGATAGCCCGACCCATAGGGTCACTGGCCTTCACCGTTGATGCTACCCGGGTGGAAGAGGCCT